TGCGCATGCATGCTGGTCTGACAGAACACCGGGTCCAAATAAACAAACCAGACCTGTGGTATCTGGTACCGATTCCAATCGGCTAAATGTGGATCAGATTTTCCTTTAACAGGTGAGTCAGTTCAGAGCAAAGATATGTCCAAAGGTTTCACTGAACAGATGATTACTCTGACTTTACAATGTTGTTCCAAATAAAGAAAATTAAAAACAATCCACTGGATTTTGTTTCCAAGTTTTAAGATTTCGCTTCCCATCCAGGAAGCTTTTTCTATTCAAAATGTCAGGAATAGTTGAGTTCGAGGTTCTATACAGTAGCTCAGCAAAGGCCGTAAAAAGAAGCCAAAGGACCCCCATTCCAAAGGGATGGACTTATTCATCAGAGTCAGTTTGCATGTTTTCAAAACAAAAACAAAGCTTTGTTGATCTACAGAATAAAACTTGGAACTCAACGCTATTCCTGACATTTTTTATTGAAAAAGCTTCCTGGATGGGAAGAGAAATGTCTTCAAACTTGGAAAGAAAGTCCAGTAGATTTTTTTTTAATTTTTTTTTACTTTTTTGAGAATGACTGTGACCTGGATGAAATTAAAAACATTCTGCTAACATCAAGTCTGTATCTGGAAGATGTTGTGACTTTAATCCAGCCTGTTCAGTTGAAGCTGCTGGTTCTGTCCCACTGAGAGGTTGGTCGGATTTTCCAACCGGTCCACATTTGGTTCTATTTGGTGTTCAGTAAAAATGAAGCCTTTCGATTAAAAAATAAGAAATAATCCTTTATTTCAACACCTTTACCCTAGGTTAAGGAAGTTCTTTTACTCACAGTTCAGGTAGTTCGGGTTTGCCAAACACTGGACGAACTCTAATTCGGACTGAAACCGGTTCCGAGCCTGCTCATCTGGAGAAAAACAGAACAGACCAGAAAAAAATAAACATTTTAAATAATTGTTCTCTTCACCAGACTCCATTTAAAAAAAAACAAACTACAATTTAACGCTGGACTGTAAAGTACATTAAACTCTCCCCTCTGTCTGAAAACGCGGATTATAAAACATCACAGGATTAACCAACCATTATTAATAAAAACCAAACACATAACTAAAGCTATCAACGATAAAATGAAACAAAACATTTAGTCTCTTAGACTGTATTCAGAAAGGGATATAAATCAACCTACCCGTTTCCATGACAATAGATTGTTTGACCGTAAAATGGAGTAATTATTTTTTAATCTGTAATAAATCCAGATGATCAAAAACTCTAATACTCAGATGGTTGATCTTTGTTGAGGTTCCGTGGCCGCCATCAAACGTTCATCGATGCAACTGTCGCGTATCTACGACACATCCGTCCGCTTTACGGCTGTTGCTGTTCCTTATCTGGCCACCAGAGGGAGACATTTAACAGCCTTTTTCTTTCAAAATCCGGCTGAGGACTGAGCTGAACTCATTTTCATCTTGCTGAAGTGATTTTATCTCTGTTTTAAACGTTTACAATAAATATTTGACACAGATTCAACTTTTATTCAGTAAAGCTTCTAAGCAGACTTGGGGGCCAAGGTGAAATCTCAAACTGATGGGTTTGTTCCTTTGCTGCAGGGAGCATCATCCTGCAGTATGGAATTTGCAATTNATTCAGAAAGGGATATAAATCAACCTACCCGTTTCCATGACAATAGATTGTTTGACCGTAAAATGGAGTAATTATTTTTTAATCTGTAATAAATCCAGATGATCAAAAACTCTAATACTCAGATGGTTGATCTTTGTTGAGGTTCCGTGGCCGCCATCAAACGTTCATCGATGCAACTGTCGCGTATCTACGACACATCCGTCCGCTTTACGGCTGTTGCTGTTCCTTATCTGGCCACCAGAGGGAGACATTTAACAGCCTTTTTCTTTCAAAATCCGGCTGAGGACTGAGCTGAACTCATTTTCATCTTGCTGAAGTGATTTTATCTCTGTTTTAAACGTTTACAATAAATATTTGACACAGATTCAACTTTTATTCAGTAAAGCTTCTAAGCAGACTTGGGGGCCAAGGTGAAATCTCAAACTGATGGGTTTGTTCCTTTGCTGCAGGGAGCATCATCCTGCAGTATGGAATTTGCAATTTCTGAAACAGCTTCTTCCCCACCACCATCAGACTGCTGAACTAACTCTGCATCACACTGACAACACCAAACCAAAACACTGCATATTTGCACCACATATGCTTTGAACTCCCATATAAATGTACGACGGAGTATTAGGGCTGAGCTAGAGATTTTTTCTTTCTATTTCAACTATAAAGTCGTAAAATTATGAGAATAAAGTCACAACATTACGAGAATAAAGTTGTAACATTACAAGAATAAAGTTGTAAAACTACGAGAATAAAGTAATAAAATCATGCGAATAAAGTCGCAACATTATGACAATAAAGTCATAACATTACAAGAATAAAGTTGTAAAATTATGAGACTAGTCGTAAAATTACGAGAATAAAGTCATAATATGAGGAAAAAGGTCATAAAATTACGAAAATAAAGTCGTTAAATTAGAAAAATAAAGTTCAATTGAATTCAATTTGGTTTATTTCTATAGCGCCAATTCACAACAGATGTCATCTTAAGGCACTTTACAGTTCAACCAGATCATACAGTCAAATTGATTCAAAGTTTTCTATCTAAGGAAAACCAGTTGATTGCATCGACTCAATGACTCAAATACAATCCCTCACACTTAGCATGCTTGTAGTGACAGTGGAGAGGAAAAACTCCCTTTTAACAGGAAGAAACCTCCAGCAGAACCAGGCTCAGTGTGAGCAGCCATCTGTCGAGGCGACTGGGGTTCAAGGAGACAGAAGCAAGGATATAAAAAGCAACTGGTAAATGCGGCCCGGTCCAGGAAACATACAGCCATGCAGACAAGCTTGGAGCCAACTCCCATGTCAGAGGATGAAGAGAGCTAATCCAGCCAGTCACAGTAAAAGAAACAGGACCACACTGGAAAAAACAGGCTGATCCCCAACATCTATAAACAGAGGTGTTGATGGCAGCAGCACAGCTGATATTTCTCTCCATGATGGAGTCACAGCCAAACAGGAACAGACCAGATGAAGCTACTATGAGAAAAGGCAGAGAGAGCAGAACGTTAGAGATTGAACTAACAGATTCTGCAGAGTGGGAGAATAGAGAGAGAATGAAGCAGAATGATGAAAAAGGGGTCCCTATGTCCTCCAGCAGTCTAAGCCTATAGCAGCATAACTACAGAGATAGCTCAGGATAACCTGAGCCACTCTAACTATAAGCTTTATCAAAAAGGAAAGTTTTAAGCCTAGCCTTTAAAGTAGACAGGCTGTCTTTCTTCACGGACTAAAACTGGTAGTTTTCACAACACATGTCATCTCAAGGCACTTTACTGTTAAATCAATACGAATACGTCTGAATGCATCATCATTTATCAGCCATGTTTGCTTTACTCAGGAGGAGGATTCTGGATCCTCTCACAGAACCTGGTTGAATAATGACAGTTTTTCTAACAACTGAGACAGTGAGAGAGAGTTACAAACTTTTATAACCATTATGAATCATTTAACCCTTTTTAGGTCATTATAAATTTCGTCAAATTTCAATTCAAGTGTTATTGGAGCAAAAAACATGAATGTATTGTTGTTGTAACATAAAAAAAAAGTATTTCCATTAAATTACCAAAAACATACATTTTTCCTGATATGATCAAAAATATTCAAAAGAATACTATATAAGAAATTGCTATTATAAGGACAGTGAAAGAAGCACATGATATTTTTTTTTACAGGAACTTCACTTAGTTATCTTTTAAGTTAGCTCATAAACTTTTAAAATTAGCTTTTTAACATTTTTCTTTAGATCATTAAGTTTTTAATTAAACTTGATAGTTTTGTTTTTAACTTAATTTATCGCAGGTAACATCAAAAACAGTAGCTAAAATTAGATTATTGGGGGTTTCTATAAAGTAGTTACACATAGCTTTCAGACAGAGTTGGACCTCGCAGAGCCTATAGACAATAATAATAATAATAATAATAAATCCAATTTGTACCGCACTTTTCATTAAGAAAAATCTCAAAGTGCTACACAGTGCAAATAAAATCAAAGACAGACCACTTTTGACCTCAGGATTTGGCCTTGATTCCTGCAAAGTGATGTTTATATCCCAGTTACCATTTTTGTTAACTTGGATGAAAAAGGGTTAAACCCCATTTCTAAACATAACCCATCTACAGTAACCTGCAGCCCTGAAACTAATCAGTTGTTAGTATCTGGGTCATTAGTAGTGTTGCGCCAATGCCAGTTTTTGGCCCCAATACCGGTGCCCAATACCAGGATGTGCAGTATCGTCCGATACCGAAACCATCTATTTGAAATTGATGTGTGTGTATGTATATATATGAAGAACTGCATACTGCTTGGATGTTAAATAATTGCCATCATGGCTTTATCAAGCTGCTGCCTTCCTTTGTGAAGCAGGTAAAAGACTAAAACAAAGTGAATCCAGTAGAACTTTTTATTGCCTACCTGGAATGGATGACAATAGTTGAATATAGAAATGGTATCAGTGCCCTATTTGTTGGTACTCGCCGATACCGATACCACCATTTTAGTGCTCGATCGGGGCTCCCACCCGATACTGGCATCGGTATCGGTGCAACACTAGTTATTAGTATTGTGTTCTTTGTAAGAAAAGCAGAGAAAACATCTGGGCTCCTTTTCCCTCCATTAAAGACATTTCATCCCAGCACTGCGTATCCCAAGCCTGTAGCATCATAAATGACCCCTCACCCCCCACCATGGACTGTTCTCCCTGCTGTCCTCGGGGAAAAGGCTTCGTAGCATCTGATGCAGGTCCAGCAGATTCCAGAACAGTTTTTTCCCCACTGCCATTAGATTGGTGAATGTTTTGTAAATGGGTTATAAAAAAAACCCCCAAAACCCTGAATGTTAGAACTGTAACTATACAGTCATATATTTAGTTATTGTGTTACCGTTTTTCATCAAAATGTTTTTTTTTTTTTTTTTTATCACTGCTGCTTACCTTATCAAGGCTGCACTTTAAAAAATTAAATTGTCTAGAGAGCTGCTCTTAACAAAATTTCTTTTTGTTTACACTTGTGTATACAAAATGACAAAATAAGTCTGTCTAAGTCTAAAGTCTAAGTCTTGTGGTCCAAAGGGAACTCCGAGCAGTTCTCCTGATTCTTTTGGATCTTTTGGAGAATCACTGTAGATCAGATTTGATAAACCAGTATGAGCGACTTTCGTTTCAAACTAAGCTGGAAACACCCTGTTATCCAGTCACCTGCGTTGACCAAATGCAGCATCTGCAAACAGTCCAGCACTCAGCTGAAGTCTGTTCTGGTGTCACTCCAGTTCTTCCACACCTTCATCTGCTGGTAGTTTAATTCAGGGTTCATCACAATAACCCTCCTCCTCTAACAAACATCAGTAGCTCTCTAAGTCCAGGGTCTTTGGACTGAACCAGAATCTCTGTGTTGAAATTGGGCCTAAAGAAGCTGAAACCTTTTGGCTGTTTTAGATCTCTGAACAGTGATTGGATATAAGGTTTGTGCAGAAAAACAACAGCAGGATGAAATCTGTCACATGTTTATTTACAGGGAAATCTGTCGGCACCAAGATGGTAGAAAACTGCATATGTACATAAGCAAAGACCTACTGGAACACAAGTTAAATAAAAACAATATATTTTTAAGGACAGAACAGCTCTGGTTCTGAAACTGAAAAGTTTCTGATCTTTGGAAAGTTACGTCAAATCTGTGATTTATTTTTTCTGTTGACTGAAATTTAATGTTACAAGATGAGGTGAAAAAACATGAAAAATTATTGAGAAATCTGCTCAGAGTGCGTTTGAATAATAACTGTAAGTGGATTCTGGCTGGGAGATGTTCTGCAGGTTCTAGTAACCACATGTACATTTGGACCTTCATATCTCACCCATCCTTTCCTTCAGAACCATCATAGTTTAAATGGGTCATAGGAAGCTGGACCTGAACTGACCCGCTCTTTAATTTGATCCCTGTGTTTTACATTTAACATCTGAAACTCTAAAGTCCCAGGAATGTTCAGCTCAGAGACAGATGGTGACTCTGCTCCCTCCTGCCTGTTCACCTTTCCATCAAAGCTTTTTGACTTTCATTCCAAAGGAGGTTTCGATCTAGTAAACGTTAATCTAAAATTTTCATAATTGTAAAGTCAAATACTTATTACAAATTTACAATACAATGAAAAGTTTACATCTCAATGATAAGTTAATAATTTAATAAAAAGCTAACGTCTCCATGA